CTATCTTGAGCAGAGACTAGCAGCTTTTCAATAGCTCTTTTTTTGTGGTTAGCATGCCCAGTACAGTATAGACTACAGAAGGCTCAGAAAATTAACCTATTTTCATTTGTGAATTCAGGTTGCCATAATGGAAAAACTTGAGAATGAATCTACTTTGTCGCTAACTTACCTCTGGGTTATTTCTTCTTCTTCTGCTTCACCATCTTTTTATGGCAGTCCTAAAAGGGCTATTGTGCTAGCTTCTGTGCAAAGAGTAAATATCTCTATCTAAAAGATCAGACAGAGAAGCAACTTAATTAAAATCAACAGCTTTGGAAATCTGTTCAGTCGATACTTGGAGCAGAAAAACAAATTTAAAAATTTTCAAAAGCGATGGTTGGAATGTTGTGGGTAGAAGGAGGTGTCTGATTAAACAGAGCTTAGAATTATAAACAGTATAAAACATTGATCTCAGAATAACCAAATGAATTAATTTGTATACCAACTTGGTACCTTTTTTACAAAAGCACATTCTCATTCCCTCTCTTTTTGTTATAATCTATCTAGAAGATTTAACCTGCATTGCTCGGGCCTCATAGGGCAGGGGATATGTGAGGTACAGGAATCAGGGCAGGGGTTCGGGCATGGGGGGGTGCAGGTGTCAGCATTGGGGTGAAAGGGGGTTCAGGGTAGGAGGAGTCAGGGCAGCAGAGTTATGGGGAAGCTCAGGGCAGGGGATGGAGCCAGTTGCTGGCTGCTCCCAGGGGGCCCACCCAAAGCGGTGGGGGCTGCACTATGACTTTTTGGGGACTATTTCATTTTATTGAAGGAATGAACTGGGTCTGAAAGGGAGAAAACCACCTAAGAGGTGATCCTTTTCCATTGTGTTTCTCTTTTCAGAAATGTCAATCTCTATTTGGAAAGGTTTACTCCAAACGACAAAGAGTAGACTGTTCGTGCAAAGAGGTGTGTCGCTTTACAATGGCACCCATGGCTTTGAGGAAGAAGAGATAAAGAAAAAACTTCAGCAGTTTGGTGGTGGAGCCATCAACCTTTCTAAAGAAGACAATGGCATTGGAGTCCTCACCTTAAACAACCCAAAGCTAATGAATGCATTCACAGGTACTGACAACTTATGATGTTTTTGTTTGTTTTGCAGTTTTGGGGGTCTAATTAACTTTGATCTTGTTTCTGTTGGATTGGGAGTGCCAGGTGGAGTTGGTAGCCTGTTACATACAAGAGGTAAAGCTAAGTGATCTAGTGGTCCCTTCGAGTCTTAAACTATATGGCTCTATGGAAAAATTGCGCCCATAACTCTGTCATGCTTAAAAATAAAAAATCATTGCTGTTGAGTAGTGATACTTGTTAGGGATGGTCTTTATGCTATTTAGTCCTGCCATGAGTGCAGGTAACTGAACTCGATTACCTCTCAAGTTTCCTTCCAGTTCTAGTATTCTGTGACTGCTGTTCAGCACAGTAACTCCATACGAAACATTAAACACAAAAAACTTTAGATACTGAAAAAGGCCATCTATCAGAACACGCTAGCCCTTTTTTCAGTCGGCTCAATCCTGCCCCCCACTCTTTATTCGTTGTTCCTTTTGTACATCCCAGTTACTCTAGAAGCAAATAAATATAATTGTGTCTTTGAACTCAAAACATCTTTTTCAAATGTATGATGCCTATATTGTAAATTGGAGCATTGAGGTAAAAAAAGGACTTGAACACTATTCCTATAACTTGCTTTCTGCTCTCTCACTCATCAGTTTATAGTGTTGCCTTTCCTACCACATATACCGAACCTATCCATCCTTTTTTGTTCCATCAGGATGACCCTTTACACGTCAACTTATCTACTAATGGATGAACATTCTCAGTCCAGTTAGAAACATTCTAAGAATTTTTTCATCCATCCTTATCTGTCTGCCCAAGCTGGATTGTAGAGCTCTGGGTTATCCCATGATGAACTTTCTAGTTGGGCAAATTAATTGCAGTTTATACTTATTATTCTTAGATTAGTTTAAAAAGGCATTTTAAGTCTAAAACCTATATTATCAAAATCTCTAGCTTCCATAAGTCAGTAGCTACAACAAATAAGGAATTATACCCATAGTATGTCTGACATCACGTGAAAAGTGCTGTCTGTGTATTTACTGGATCAGTTTAAGTATATTTAGGAACAAGACATTCTAGGAGCAATACTCTAGTGCCATGGTCACCAACCCATGATCGTGATTGACTGGTCAATCCTGGGGGGCTTTCGGGATTAGATTCCCAGTGTAGATGGGCCAAATGTTGGAAGAAATTTTTCCGACAGAAGGATATTAAAAAAAAAAGCGGAAGTGTAGCCGTACCCTGAGAATGTATAAGGAACAAGGATAGCAAGTGATGGAGAGAAGGGGAACAGAGAGGGCGGGGTCTCAAGGAACGGGTGGGGCTTTGGGGAAGGGATGGGGTAGATCTTGGCTTGTCCTGACACTTACACACCACCCAAGACTGCTTTTTAAGGTTTGGAGACCACTGCTTTAGTGAATAACAGGGAACTGGGTTAAAGACTTGTGGGCTTTAGTGTAATCCCTGTCATTGAGTTGCTTTGTGACCCTGTGTCATTAAGCTTCTGTCTGAATTCCCTACATTTAAAATGGGAATATAAATCCTTACTTACTATATATATATCCCTTCTCTCACATGCATGTCTCAGGAAAAATGTATACACATGCCAAAAAAGTCATGTGAACATTCTAAAGGTGGCCCACATCACTGCAGAAACAATAGCAACAGTCATAATATTGGGAATGCCTGGGTGCTGCTGATGCATCTCAACCAGCAGATGCATGTGATAGAACTAGAAAATGAAGATAAAGTTGGGAAATTCCAGCTTTAAGGTTGCACAGGCAACCTTAATTCGTGTCTGGATCCTGACAAGGGCATTCAGGACTAATGGTCAGGGCAGTGTCAAACCTGAGGCTGAGATTAGTGAAGGGGTTAGTGGTCCAGTACCAGACTGAGGTTGGTATGAAGGGTCAGAGTCCAAGTCAGGTTTCAGGATCTGGGTCAGGAAGTGATACAAATCTAGTCGAGGTCAAAACCAGGAGTTAAGAGCGATGTACCCTGTGGCCTGAACACTTCGTGGAACACCTGTTGGGGTTCTATAAGGCAGGGAGTCAATCAGGAGAAATGATGCTACTGACTGTCAGACCCCTGGAGGCAAGACTTGTCGTTTGTGTATGCAGGTAGCAATGGATAATGGAGTGAGAGCTGACTGCTGCTGCTAGGTTGGCAGTGTGAAGGTGCTTGCTGTCTGGCAGCTCTGTAGCCCTAGCTCTAGGACCTGGTGAGCCTTACGTTTCAGTCCCCTTATATGTATGTGTGCTGTTGTAGACTCTATAACACAATCATGCTGTATTTTCCACAAGATTCATGCATCGCTTACAACATCCAGGACATAGAAGGGGGCTGAATTAAGGTTGTATGAGTACCCATAAATCTGGCATTTGTTAGCATTTGTTTCTCTTAATTTTTATATGCAATATATCAATATAAGCATGTTATGTTTGTTTTTAGCCAATTTAATGCGCATGAATGGTTCTAGGCTGACAGCCCTGGAAATATGTATTCATCCACTAAACAGGTGTAGCACAGGGGCAGGGGTCAGTTAGAAAGCTTCCAACACCAGTGTGTCTTGAAATCTTTACCTTGAGGTAAAGAGGTTACTTCTAGCAGGTGAAATGACAGTTAATTCATTCTGTGTTAATATAGTCCTTTGCCTTCAGCTGAGTGGAATATGTTATTGCAGCACTTCAATTCACTAGCTGTTTGTTGATCACTGCAGTGTATTATTATAATAGTCAGGACTGGCTGTTCTACCTATTATTAAGTTTGTCCAACACTCCCCATTATATGACTGGTTTGGGTTGCTTGTAATTTTCCTTGTCAGCCTCAGGCTGAATTATTGTTGTTGTTGTTATTTTATTATTTTATTTATTTTTAAATGAATTTTTTTAAATGCAGTCAAAACAATTCATTTGTTTCCGAAAAATGAGGCTAGGGAAAACATTGTTTTTTCCATGTTAAGTTTTGGACTTTTTTCCTTGAAAAACTGTCATGACCCCATGCTTTTGAGCAGTGGGACTTGAAATATAAAGGAGGATGACCTTTGTGTCAGGGCGTGCTTTTTGGTGTGCCTGCTAAAATCCAACCAAATATGTCTGAATTATAAGCATAAAATGAGTTTGCAAATGCTCAATAGGGATTTCTTAGATTTTTTTTTTTTTTTTTTTAAAAGCAACTAAATTTCCCAAAGATTCTGTCCACCCTGGGCTTGCTCCAGCCTGCAGATGAGAAGAACTTCCCATGCAATTTCAGCTCTGGGTAGTAGGCCATGCCAGATCTGGGCATCTGAACTGAGGACAAGAGAGCCTTTCTCTTAGATGCTGTCAGTGAAGCCCTTCTCTGCCTCAGCAGCCTGCAAGTGGCAGCTGCACGATTCAGATGCCAGGGACAAAAAATAGAGCTGTGGAGGGAAACTAAGAGCTGGTGGCTGGGATAAGAGAGGGCATGGGAAACTGCGACTTGGAGCTAGTGTTGGAAGGGTGGGACTGGCTTAATTGGAAACTGGGACTTTGGAGCCAAGGAGGGAAATAGGGTTTGGGAGTTAGTAGGTCGGGGAAAACTGAAATCATCTTAGAAGCTGGAGGGAGATTGGGACTGGCTGAGCAAGGAAATGTGCTGAGTGGGTGGGGACACAAGTAGAACTGAGACTGCCTGGACAGAGACAAAGTCAAGATACCATGGAGGGAGTAGGGAATACTTGGATTGCACAAGGAGGCAAGGGGAAGAGAGTGAGTCCAAAAGGAACCAGCGGCCATGAAGATTGTGCGTGGGAGTCTGCAATTGGAGGCTATGGTGGGCAGGAGAAAAAGATAAAATGAGAATCTGAGAGGGACAAACTGATTGGCTGGGAAAGGAAATGGGACAAAGATCTAGGATAGGGAAGAAAATTGGGAATGGCTGGACAAGTGGACTGGGATGAGAAGCCTGAGGAATGGAAACTCCGCTTAGCTAAGTGAAGAGAATGGAACTAAGGTGAGGAATTGCAGATGGGAAAGAGACAACACTGGGAGAGGAGCTGCAAGAAAACACACCCCTTCAGAGGCTAGAATGAAATCCTAGATTCCAGTGTATTGCCATTCCTCTTGTATCAGCAGATACCCAGGAAAGCCATTGTTTTATCTCCTTCTATGCTGGCCCACATGGGATGACAACCTATTACTATTGCTATCAGTTGCTCAGTTAGCACAAGTGACTTGTAGAGATTTGGGTCATGGATCTAAAGGTTCCAGTCCCTCTGACTCACGTTAGTAGTAATGTGATGCCAATTGATACAGTTTCTGTTTTTCCCCTCCATTTGCATTTTTAAAAATGTAGGAAATTATACACACACCTACATTGATAAGGTTGCAAAATCAAGCATTGAAAAGTTATGAAATGCCAGAATTATGTTTCTGTGGATACTTAATTTTGGTCCCATTATGCATATGGATTATGATGCAATCTTTGATATGTGCTCAAATATTCTTTTCAAAATTTAATTCCAGTTTGGCATATGTGTATACTTATTATATTAGTACATAGCGTCCTCAAGAAATCACTACCCATTGTGCTAAGCAATGTACAAACAGAGTAAATTCTAGTCCTTTCCCCAAAGAGCTCTTGTCAGGAAGAGCCTATCATTGGATACTTGGCTTCTCTGAATAGTCGTGAGTGAGTGAGTGAGTGTGTGTGTGTGTGTGTGTGTGTGTGTGTGTGTGTAAAATATATATAAAATGCACACTTTTGTTAGAAATCTTACAAATACTGTTAACAAAGTAAAACATAAAAACTGTTTGCCAAACATTCACTTTATACAGCAGGTTTTGTCTCTTAGGAGCAATGTTTATTCTATGCTTCAATGACTCATGGAACAGAAAGCTGAGCAAGATTATGCTGGCGAATAGCTGATGGGCAATATGGATATAGTCTTGCTGGTTTTTTCTCTAGTTCGAATCTGTTTGAAACTTTTTTCGGAAACAAATACTCATAACATCCGCTTAAGCCTAGTGCAACCAATTTCAACAGCCCACGCATCTTGTTGAATTCGAGTTTGACCAAATTTGAAAGGGAAAGGGTCTCAATCCTTTCAGCTTGGCTTAACTCCAAAAATGGTATAATTTTTAAGTTAGTACAGTAAAACTCCAGTGGTCTGGCATCCAATGGTCTGGCACTCCTGATGGTCCGGCACCATCTGGAACCCGGAAGTGCTCTGGGCAGCCGGACAATTGGAGCTGCTCTGCCCCTGGCTTCCCTGATTCAGCTGCTGCTGAAACTGACCAACGGCTTACTCAGGGAAGCTGGGGGCAGACCAGCTCTGCCTCTAGCTTCCATGAGTCAGCCGCTGGTCAGTTTCAGCAGCGGCTGACTTGGGGACGCCTGGGGCAGAGCAGCTGGGGTGTTGCCAGGTTGGTCCCGCAGCACCGAGGAGTGCATCCCCCCCTCCCCTCCCACTGCACCCCAGACCTCTCATAGCCCCCCCTTCTGATAATCCGGTACCTCCTGGGTCCTAAAGGTGCTGGATTATCAGAAGTTTACTGTACTTTGATCTAACATGCACTAGGAAACTTTTTAGTTGGTAGTAGCTGGGAGCACATGAATAGTTAATGCATAAGGTGCTAATGATCTGTAGATTTACACCTCAATTTACTGCACAGTAAACTGTTCATGTAGGCAACAACTGAGTAATCAACCATGAATTCTGATTATAAATTGGTCTCTGGATGTTCATTTGCCAGTTAGCACATACTTGTTGTGTTTGTGCTGATCTTTCTGTACCCTATTCTAACTTCCTTAAGGAGAAAGAGAGGGTCCACTTCACAATCTCTAGCTTCCTTCCTGATGATCTCCTTGATTTTGTCTGTTTCTCTTTTTATCTTTCATCTGTTAATGTTGGCCTTGGTCCAGGAAAGCACAACTATAACTGTCAAGTGATTCTTTCTATCTAAATGCAACATGAGCATTGTGGAATATCCTTCCTTCACAAAAAGTTCCTCAGAACGTCAAAAACTGCATCTTTCTACCAAAAATGCTGTGCATGTCGTCATGTCTCTGGGAAAATGAGTAGAGTTTTGACATTCATAACATGTTTAACACTAATCACATAAATGCCTTGCAAGTCACCGCTTGCTTAAGTTTTCTGATGGATTAGGACCTTTATACCAGACATTGACACCAATATGTCAAGGTGTTTTATTTTAAATGTTTCCAACATCTACTATGATTGGAAGTGGTATACAATTTAAATATCAAGCAGTTCAGTAAGACTCTACTCTGATCATATCCCTATTGACACAGTTGTGCTTTTCCCCCCTAATGACAGGCACTATGATGCTAGAACTCCAGGAGAGGGTAACTGAACTGGAAAATTGGAAGCATGGGAAAGGCCTTATCGTCCAGGGTGCCAAAAACACTTTTTGCTCAGGATCTGATTTGAATGCTGTCAGAGCAATGTCCAGCCCACAGGCAAGTTTGTTTGTTTGTATTACTATAGCACATGGGATCATCTTTCATAAAAGCACCTTATTGCAGTAGGCACTGTACAAACACTAAACAAAATGTGTCCCTGGCATAAAGCATTTGTAATTGATCAAGTATGTCACAAGAGATGACAGATACAGACAAGTGGGGAAGCAAAGACACAATGAAAAAATTAGATGATTGGTAGTGGTATCCGCATGTTAGTGACCAAGTGATTGATTGATATATATATATATATTTATTTCATTTTCGGTAGAAGAGGCAATCTTTTTTTGTTCTGAGGGGCTCTTTTCAAGCAATCATGTTCCATAATGCTTGTGATGCGATTATACATAGAAATCTCCATTTATGTCACAAGTTTTATACTAAGTAAAAAGTAGCTGAGTCTTTGCAAATCAAATGTGTGACAACTTGTTCTCATAATTAGCAAATTAAGGTTTCCCTTTGAATTGCATATTTACTAATTCTCAAAGTGTTTATTTCCATATATAAAGTCCCTTTAACTTTCAGAATTCTTTTTATGCTAACTGGATTCATTACAACAGGAGAGAAGATTGATTTTAAAATGGTCCTCGGTAGACTTTCTGAGAGGAATGGATAGGTATTGATACAACCTTTTTCAAATAAAATTCTTTTGTAGAAGCCCAGCCTCATACAAGAACTAAAATAAAACCATAAAATCCACAAGAACTGGCCAGGGAAACTCCAAATACACTTCTGGCCTAACAACCTTGGTTACATTCAAACTAATTATTTAGATGTGAGAGACTCTTTAAAATTGCTTGTCCCTGAAATATCCATCCAGTGGGATTTAATATCTCTGACAACACTAAAACTGTATAGCATGATAAATAACACTTGCTTTTAATCCAGCCTCTCAGAACTCTACTCTTGCCGTCTGGTATTCTATGCCGGGGAATGCCTTCCCAAACTGCTAGCCTGTACCCACCCACGCTACTGTAGGCGGGCTGGGGGTGGAGTGTTGCTGTCCCCAGTGCCCACCCTCCCTGTGGTTGGGGCCAGGGAGGCTGGGGACTTGTCACCTACCCTCCCTGTGCTCTAAGGCCCCGGAGGACAAGGAGGTTGGGGAGGCTTGGGCCTCCTGCCAGCTGCCTTCCCTGTGGGCCGGGGAGGCTGGGGACATGCGCCATCCGCCCTCCTTCCTTCCCGTGGGGGGGCACGCACATGCACACATTGCCCTCCTCTCCATGCACACGCTGCGTGTGTAACCTATGCTATTTGACTATTACAGCAACAGTAGTGATCTAAGACCAGCAATACAATTTCATATTCTGTTTTCTCTGTGAATGGTGTCGTCTTCCCCACAACAGCTTGTCTTTATGCTAACAGATGGTTCATTTCTATATTTTGTTTACATTGTGCACTTCGAGTTTTCTTGTTACTCGATGGTATTATAGCTAAAAGTACGATTGTTCCATTAGTCTCCAAAGAACCTTTTATTCTGATAAAGTACTGTCTGGTAACCTACTTTATTATTTCTGTCTTCTCGGAAAAAGCTAATAATATAATTGGTCAGAGCTGAAATATGGTTTTGAGAGTTCTTCTCCTAATCTTTCCATGTGAAATAGACAAATCTTTCTATCACCTGATAATTATTACGAAAAGTACCATTAGGAAGAGATTTGTTTTTGTCTGCTGAATCATGGAAGTGTTTCTCAAGCTGTTCCACTGGATTAATCTTTAGTTTCCATTTTGACGTTCAGCGTGAAATTAAGTGTGTAGAAGTGCCAGTTTGATTCCACTGTGTTGGGATAGAGTGAAAACAGATTTCCCCCAGGACAATTTGTTTGGCTGCAGCCTGATTACAGCGCATAAAATGCAGCATGCTGGTCTAAGCTGGAACATTGTTGTTACATAAGTATTTGCAGTCACTTTGGATTTTTTCTTCTTGTACAAAAATACTAGACATGATCAAATAGGGCTTACTCCTGCACCAGCTGGGAATGGGAGAGCTGCCATTGACGTCAGTGGGTGCAGGGTCAGACCTATAGTAGCAGATAGAAATCTATTTGAAATGCTGTTTCCAAGCAACTTTTGAGTGTTACAGGGCAGATCCACAGACTTAAATTGAGCCATGACACTTTACATTAGCTAAAGTTCTGCCCCCAAATATTAAACTTCCAGTTTCATACAGAGCAATGTGTGTCCTCTTGTGTTCTCAGAAGCCCAGAAAAAATGGCAGAGAAGCTGAAATGTTCTCCCACATAGTAGGTGGGCAATCTAGTTACTAGTTAAGATGTATGGAATAAGTTTGACCAGCCTGCGCTATATTTGCTGTGAGTAGAAAACTTCAGTCAAAACTGTCTTTAACTGAACTAAGTTTACAAAACATAGATATATAAGCAAAAGGGAGCTGTTTATTCATCACATTAATCTTCTAAATAAAACAAAGTTTAAAGTAAAAAATTGTTTCCTTAATCACTGATTTGTTTTCTCATCCACACAGCCACAAGACTAGCTAACGCTCTGTCTCTTAAGCAGAATTGAAACCTTTTGTTCCAGAAATACATATGTGCAGTTCATTGAGTAGACTTTGCAAGCTGATGTGTAAGGGAAGACTAGTCGATACATTTTTTTGACGACAATAAAATTTTTCAATGGAAAACTTTCATCTGTCATTTTCTGGGGTTTTTAAAAGTGCAAATTTATATTGAGAACTGGAAATTTACACAACAATTTTTGAAAACTGAAATTTTCTTGCCTCGGTTTGCTTGGTTTTGTCAACTAATCTTTTGTTACTCAAAATATTTATCAAATTTAGTATTAACTTTGACAGTCTCTTATTGACACTGGACTTATTCATAATCTAATCTCAATATAAATCAGTAACTATTCTATTTATATCACGGGAGTTATACCAGAATAAGCTAGTTTGAGATCAGAATCAGTGCCTTAAGAGAACAAACTAAATGACCTTCAGATTCAGCAAAGGTATAGAAAACTAATCTGTTGTGGTTTTCCTTTTAATTCTTTTATAGGATGGGATGAACATGTGTATGTTTATGCAAAACACCTTAACTAGACTGAAGAGGTAATACTTTTTCTTTCTTCTTCTCTATGAAGAAATCATGCAAGGACTGTAATGCATTTCTACTTAGTTTCATAAGTGGCTTCTAAATTTACATACATAGTTTATAATTGTGCAAACTTTTGGAGCCCAAAATCTCATTTGTGTGTACAAGTTGGGTAGCTACATGTGTCTCTACATCTGATTTGCATGTACAATTTAATATGGGTTCACTACCATGTCCCCCATCTTTCTTCCACTATTTGATCTGAGGAAGTGGGTCTGGCCCACGAAAGCTCATCATCTAATAAACCATCTTGTTAGTCTTTAAAGTGCTACATTGTCCTGCATTTTGCCCCATCTTTCTGTAACCTTCCCCAGCAATATGAAATGGTATCATAACAGTGCTTATGGGTCTCAGTCAAAACGGAGACTCCATTTGCATTGGTGCTGCCTAATAGAATCAGAATAGACTACAGACAAATCATAGGAGAAAAATATTATTTAACTGAAGCTCAGAGAAATTAAGTGTCCTACTGAAACTCTCACAGGAAGCTTCTGGCAGACCTAGAAAGTGACTTCCTATTTTCTGATCCCCCACTTGCATGCATTAACTACAAGACCATCCTTCTCTGATAAGCTCCTTGTGCCTTGTTTCTGTGGAGGTGAGCCATACAGGCATTATTGCTTTTCTAAGGGATGGCTTGTAGGCATGGTTGGAGGCTGAAAATTCTTCCTACTACTGTGGTTCTATTCCCTGTCTACTTCACAATAGTGAAAAGTCTCAAGAGTCCGTATCTGCAAAAACAATGAGGAGTCCTTTGGCACCTTAGAGGCTGAGGGTATGTCTACATTAACCCCCTAGATCGATCTAGGGAGGCTAATGAGGGCAACTGAAATTGCAAATCAAGCCAGGGATTTAAATACCCTGCACCTAATTTGCATATTTAAATCCCTGGCTTGACTTGCAATTACGGTCGCCCTCATTAGCCTCCCTAGCTTGATCTGGGGGCTATTGTAGACGTACCCTAACAGCTTAGTTTGGGCATAAGCTTTCATGGGTAAAACCCACTTCATCACAAAGGCAGTTTCCCTTTTCTTGCTATTCATATCACCCTGTCAACTGCTGTGAATGAACCACATGTGCCCTGACTTTATTAGCCTCACTGACAATGGTCCTATACTTGACAAGTAACTTCTTTCTTTTGTTTTTCATAAATTAGGCAATCTCTATTAATTTATCTGCTAGAACTGGAAGGGACCTTGAAAGGTCATCGAGTCCAGTCCTCTGCCTCACAGCAGGACCAAGTACCATCCCTGACAAATTTTTGCCCCAAATCCCTAAATGGCCTCTGCAAGGATTGAACTCACAACCCTGGGTTTAGCAGGCCAATGCTCAAACCACTGAGCTATCCCTGCCCTCAGCTAGAGATATAATGCATCTATACCAAGGTTTCCCAACCTATGGGTGGGGACCCAAATATGGGTCGCCATTACATTTCAAAAGGGTCACCAGGTGGCTCTTAAGGAGCCATTCACACATTTTTTTTGAATTGCCCTGTGTCACCAAGTCTTCCTGAATTGTCAAAATGGGTCCCCATCTGGAAAAGGTTGGGACCTGCTGGCCATACCCCTGCTTCTGTAATTTCCACTCCTGTTCATCTGACGAAGTGAGTTTTACCCATGAAAGATTATGCCTTAATAAATCTTAGTCTTGAAGGTGCCAGAGGATTCCTTGTTTTTACTCTCAATGGAGAATTCTGAAACTGACTTTCTAATCTAGGTTTCTTGTTAAACCTCACAGTAAACTGCCCATCAACCCACTGAATTAATCATAGAATCCTAAAACTGGAAGGGACCTCAAGAAGTCCTCTATTCTAGTTCTCTGTCCTGACGGCGGGACCAAGCACTAGGTCATCCCTGACACGTGTCTGTCCTAGGGATGATAAATATAGTTTAGTCAACTAATCAACTAGTCAGTGGATTTTCCATTGACTAGTCGATTATTTGATAAATAGGGGAGCTGAAGTGGGGTTAGCTCCCGGTCCTGGCAGCTAACCCAGCTGTGGCTCTGCCTTTTAAATATATGGAGCCAGCAGGCTCTTAATACGTTTAAAAAGCAGAGTCGCAGCACCTGGGACCAGGTGTGAGTTGGGAATCAGCTGATTCCCAGCTCACACCTGGACCCTGCTACTCCTGTGCCCCTGCAGAGATGGTGCTGGGGGGGGGGGGGGGAACCGGTTTTTAAACT